TCTGTCGGATCCTATCACAAAATTGCTTTCATCAAATTTAGTAATTTGTGTCCATTATATTTAGTTATTAAGATTGACATGTTGTTACGATAATTAGGGAGAAGTAAAAAAAGACAAATTATACTTACGTACTTCACTTTCCAATTAAATTACAGTTTCTCAAGGAAACTAATTTACATTTTTTCCAAGCAAAAATGAGCAAAAAAATATTTACACTTCCACATCTACATATGAAACAGTCGTCTTCTTCACTTTATTTCTATAAGCATCAAACAGTGCACCATATATTTGATTTTTTGTTTAATTCCATCCACCTTTTCTCGATCTTGGTATCACATTAAATTCTTCGAGACCATAATCATAGCCAAATTCAGCTCCGGTTCTAGGTAGTGGTATATCGTTGAATCTATAATCCCAAATACTTGCATATTGAAATCTATAAGCACCTGTTGCTATCATTGACCCGATAATTCTTCCTACTAATATGTCGTACCAATGATGATAATGATCAGTTGTTAAAGAAGCAGCAATTAAAACTGCACAAAGAATAGGCGTATAAAATAATAGAAGTTTCCAATATAGTGGATGACAGTTCGCGATAATAAGAACAATATAGAAATCCTGCAAATGTGAGCGTTGCATGTCCTGATGGCATTGACGCAAGAGCATAATTTATTTGTTTTTCATCTTCTGTATCAATAAAGTGATCAAACATTATTCCACTAAAACCATTTCCACTGCCAACATTAGCTGCTGTAATATTTGGTTTACATACAGAGATAAAATGTGGTCTCAATCCACCAATTAACCATTTAAAAAACGACCGCAGTAATTAGACTAAATATTAAGTTCAAATTAGTTGTATTAGCATCGTTGAAACTACGAATACGAATTTACATGAACATAATAAATACAAATGAAACAATAGAAGCGATAAGACCATTCAATTAGGAGGGAATAATATTGTTACGAAATGGATAGGCAAATTCTGGATTCATAATTTTAGCAGCACGAAAATAAACAGGAAATAGACGATTAGGCACAGATCGAATAAAATTAACGTAAAGTCCAACAGCTCCTAAAATGATCATAACGATATAATCCATCCAAAATGTCTTTAGATATAATTTTGTATTCATTGATTCACTAATAGTTGCTTTTCGATAGATATACTTGATATTGTTAATCCAATTTGTGTTTGACTCTCGATAGAGAGTTATAACACTCGGCCGATTGTCATTCATATTTTTAGGTAATATGATGAGAAAAAAAATGTAGAAACACGCGACAGTATCTCTCATAGAATGATGCATCGTTACGTGCCGTAGCTTCTCAAACGAGATACATTATATATTCTCAAAAGACAAATCCATATTTTACAATGTATCTGTTTTAATCAATTAAAAAGTATCTCTTTTGAGAAACGAATATTTTGGCAAGAAATTGCGTTTCTCAAAAGAGACACAATTATAGATATGAAATCTCTCATTTCTCAAAAGAGATACATTATCTCTCACTTCCATATTCCAAATAAAAGCAATCAAGATTATCTTAAGTGGTAATTAGTAAAAATTTTTAAATTTTAAAAAAAGGTTAATTTGTCAACTATTTGTAAACGGTCTACGTCAACTGTTGTTTCGAAATGTTTATAAATAATACTGCTCAAAGTAATGTCTTCTCACTCTTCAAAAAATTATCATGGATTTTGTACGAAAGCAAAGTCAAAAAGGCGCTTCTGCCA